TGTTATGTGTATCGGATTATTCATATGTAATACGATTGTATATTCTATGACGGCGCCAAGGTTGTATGCAACAAAGAAACGCACGTTACAATTTCACCCTACGGTTCTCTTTCTTCTCTCTCTCTCTCTCTCTCTCTCTCTCTCTCTCTCTCTCTCTCTCTCGCTCTCTCTCACTCTCTCTCTTTCGCTCTCTCTCACTCTCTCACTCTCTCTCTCCCTTCGCACGTGTTTAAGACGTTATAGCAGACTCTCGCTAGTTCAGATGACACGCACCGCTGCGATGTCGCCTTAGCTGGTCGTCAACACTGATAATGACCTGCAGCATGGAGCTGCCCCAACTCGCACCTCATGTAGGCATGTACGAGCCGCTTGAAGAATGAAATGATAAGAAATAAATACGTATTGTTACACGCGCGCACGCATATATATATATATATATATATATTATTAATTTAATAATTACTTTAAACCTTACTAATTACTTTAAACTTACTAAAAATTAATTTACTCCTGATAATTTCTATTTGAAACGCAGTTCTGATCACAGACACGTTGGTCGTGTTCGTTATAACATTTTTGTGGGATTCATATTTTATTATTAGAAGTGTCGATCCGGACGGTGGTCGGTGCGGCAAGCGGTCGGTGTATTTACTGCCACGTTAATTTCCTTCGAATGCTATATGTCTTCCATACTATGATAAAACGTCGTAACTTACAGAAGTTTCAAGTTTCAATTTACCAAGTTTCTGTGACCTAGCTCTTTATAAAATACACCGCGCCACGATCCGATGACATTTTCCTGTGACGTCATCCCCCTTTCCGCGCATTGCCCGCGATTGTTTACATTCCCACGCAAGCAGCGGCGTGTTAATCATGTGCCATCCCTGAGCGACGCAAAGCGGACACAGCGCGCGTGCGCAGCCAGTCGGCTAGCTCGTGCCGTGAGAGCCTTCATGTTGAGCGATCTGCAACAAAAGCACGTACGTAATAGGGTCGCTTCAAAACAAAAATTCCAGTAAATGAACACGAATTATATTTACGAGCAATTCTTTTGTGTCTATATCACCTAATAATTGCACGTATAAACGCCGTTCCGATGTTCAAACAAAACACACAACATCACTGCGCGCGAACGCCACTAGTCTATAGCCCGCGCGTAAAAAATGGTCACTGTAAAATTGGTCGCAGCAAAACTCATCATTGGAAAATTGGTCACAGGATAAATGGTTATAGGGTAAATTTGTCAACGAAAAATTGGACCTACTGAAAGCTGGTAAACCTCGATATACCGCTGCTTCCTCCTATCTCCCTCCTTCTCTTCCGTTTTCTCCCACTCCTGCACCTCCTCTCTTACCCCCTCCTCTTATCACGTTCTTCTTCCGCCATTCTTTACCAGCTCACTTGCCCTCAACCTTTTCCCCAACTTCTCCTCCTCGTCTGCCCCTCCCTCCTCCTCTACCTCCTCTCATCTGCCTCCTCCACATCCTCATTAATTCTTTCTTCACTGCATGTCCTCCAACCTGCATATCTCAATTCCCTTCCCTCCCCATTTTCGCTTATGCCCTCAACCACCTCTTCTCTCAGCCATATTATTCTCTCGCTCATCCACACGCGAGCGCGCGCTCACACGCACACACCCACACACACACACACAACCGACACCACCACACACGACACACACACACACACACACACACACACACCACAACGCCGCGCGCGCTGTGGCGGCGCGCACGCCGCCACCACGTGACGTGTCACTGGTCGTTCTTCACCTCCAGAGAGGATGAGCGACATTCTCTCTCATGCACTTTGCTCCGCTCTTTCATTCTCTCTCAGAACTTTCTGTCCGCGGCACTGGCACCAGCGTCAATTAACCTAGCTTCCCACGCTTCCCCGTTCCGTTGTTTCGCACACAATAGAGGAGAGCTAGCCGCGTCTTTCCGCTCGCGTCCCGTGTCGGCACCGCATCGTTGTGAACGAGTTAACGATGCAAGTTTAGCGGCGCGTGTACTCCATTGTTGCTGCCTCCCAGGATCACAGGCACTTGAGACAGAGTCAGTAAAATGCTGAAAATAATATTAACGGCACATTCACAAATATACGGGCGCGACCTCTCAATTAGGCCTACAGTTCCCGTGTGTCTGGGGGGTCACTGTTCATCAATTTTTCCTTCATAAAAAAAACTAAGCGCCGAAACGCCTCCAGACATCGCTCGCTGCGAGTGTGCTGTACGTGGCGCCATTACAATTATAATATCTTGATAATATATATATACAACTAGAACACTCGGAGCACACCTCCGCCAAGGCAGCTCAATTCTGTCACTGTAAAAAATTTAATTAATTAATTAATTAATATAATTAATTGGATCCGGATGACGACCAAAATGTAATCAATCTAAGTTGAGGCCATTTCTGACAGTTATCCTGAAATTTTATCGACAATCCGTCCAGAAACTTTTTCAGTTAGGTGTACACAAACCCAAAACCAACAAACAGTCAAACACGCACGCGGTGGAAAAGCATTAACCTCCTGGCCAACCCCTTGGTGGACGGTAATTTACAATACTTTATATATTATTATATTATTTGTTAATGGCGCTACAGCACACTCGCAGCGGCGAGTGTGCTTGGAGCGTTTGCGTTATCAGTTTTTTATGAAGCGAAAATTGATATTTACTCAGTGACACAACAGTGCGAACTGTAGGCCTAATGAGAGGATACGGTAGTATTTGTGAATGTGCGTTAATATTATTATTTTAGTTATTCTACTGACTCTGTCCCAAGTGCCTGGCTGTGGCCCAGGGATGGGCAGCATTTGCTAACCAGCTCTCAGCGCAGGCACGTGGGCTGTTTTTTGTATGATATAAATGCGTTCGTAAATAAACACAAATTGCTGTTTACTACATGCCTCAATGGTTATTTACTCTGATAATATATAGGATTAATTTATTCCACATCAATACCGTTCAAATACGCTCATAATTATTACAAACACTCAATCTTGCCACACAACTCGCCACTGCTGCAATATTCCTTAGCTGTTGACGTAATTTGTTTCAGAATCTGGAGTACTGTTTTATGATTACGCAGCAGTGGGCCGTGCGGTGAGTGCTGTGGTAATATATGTTGTGTGACCAGGAGCAATGATGTGAACAGCATTATGTGTGGAATTGCACGGGCACAATAATAAACAATAAAATGGTGGTAGTTAAATACAATTTTTGGTTGTTTATGTTTGACATCAATTAATTTATTATTCTTTCAGCGGTCCAAGTTACCTGTGGCCATCATACGCCATAGGATGGCATGAAAGCGGGCTGAGGGCGGAAATAAATGTACAGGAATAAAGAATAGTCACCAAAAAAGTCGTAGGAAAAATAGTGTCAGCAAAAAATTTTCATATTTTTGGGGGCTAGGAAAAGTCACATTAAAAAATCACATATGTTATATGTACATTGAAACATAAAAAAAGAATATCTTTTCAATAGTTATTAAATTCGTAATGCTTGCATGCTTCTCGTATTGTGCACAAAGCATGCAATAGGTATCATATATATATATTATATATATATACTTTATATATATCATTGATATATATATTTATCAGACCAACCAAGTCAATCAGTGGTCAACCAGTCCAGTGACCAACCAGAACCAATCAGGTTAACAACGAGGGCGGTTGCGTCGCGCGCCCACCCGGGGGCCCCGGCAGCGGGCCCGCGGCGATGGGCGCATTATTTTTTCCGTACCGTTAAACGGTCAGCGCTCGCTTATATCGTATTGGGAATGCATATGTGGGTTAGGGTTGAGGGTTAGGGTTAGGGTTAGGGTTAGGGTTAAGCCATTGGCTTAGGGTTAGGGTTTAGGGTTAGGCGTTAGCCAGGGTTAGGGTCTAGGGTTGGGTTAGGGTTCTAGCTGCACTAAACTCTCAAAATCGTGAATTTATTTCCCAAGTCCGTGTATTTCGAAATCGGCGCCCCCGCCGCCATCTTTCTGTCTCGTTAAGTATGAAACCGCTATCACATAATAGCCCAAGAAACGGTCTTTGCTAACGATAGAAGGCCTGTGTAAACACATATTTCAATTATTTGTTGAGTAGTCGAGTACATAGTGTTTAGGGGGACTATTCCCAATACGCTCCCCGAGCGCTGACGCGCTAACGGTACGGAAAAAATAATCGCGCCCGGGGTGCGTGCACGCGTGCGCACGTACGTGTGCGTGGGGGCTTGCGTGCTTGTGTGTGCGCGCGCGCGTGCGTACGTACGTCCGATTGCGTGTTTGTGTACTTCTGGTACTATAATTATAAGAGCGAGCATAACGGCATCAATGTTTGCGAGTCTAAATACATCCGCGGTATTACAAAGAGTCTCAGGATAAACACGCTCGTATAATTTTAATTAATTTTACGCTTCGTTAATTTACGCCTGCTACAATAAACGTTCTCTATAAATATTATTCATAAATGCGCGGTTCCAAAATATAAAAGAAGAGATTAAACCCTTATAAACCTGCCCCCTATCGCCCCCTGCCTATATATCTAATTTTATTTATCAATCTGCCCGTACGTTCATTCAAACCATCAAACGTTATAACTATAACATATCTCCCTAGCTTTCATGTGTTTGTACGCAGCGCTGTGCATACCGTTACATATTGTATGTTGTACAGATGTTTACGTGTTACGCGATATAGAAACTGTGGTAATAATTATAATTTATGTTCATTTATGTTACTATCACTTAGTGATTTAAACGGCCTGAGTGTCTGACGCGCAATAGGCTTCGTTCGGTACAGTAGTACCGCATGAGTTTGAAAATACAGGCGCGCGTAACATCACGTGCCTGGCTTCTGCCCCCCCTCGATCTGATTGATCGGCGTGATAGAACACAAGCCTGGCGTCAGCGCAGCGTGCTTTCAAGCTCGCCGCAAAATAACTTTGCCGCCACCGCCAGCGAATCGGACGCGCGCTACCCCCACACGTGATCCAACTTGATCACGCCCCCTCGCTAGCGGGGCTCTAAAAGCGCGGCTGTGTACTCGCTTCGTGGATTGTGGATTTCGAAGTACTTTGTCTTTGTAATAAGTTCTCGTTGCTGTTTGTCTCGCTCGATTGTATTTTGCCGTCTTTACACCCTATTCCGCGATACGAGGTTGTCGAGAGAATGTCTAGAAACCGCATCGAAGAATCTTCGCCCGTATTCCCAACCTTCGACATGTTCGATACGGAATACCCGTGGAGTGGAATTTACGTGTTCCCTCCGGCAGTTAAATGTGAGCGGAGCGGGATGCGCCGAGCATGGTCGGAATCGAGCGGAGACAGCGAGTACACGACCGGATCTCCTTCTCCGCCGGCTAGGGCACCGCCAACCGATTCGTTCTTCTGCGATTATTCGCACGATATGGTTGACGGAATTAAGAAAGTTCTTCTGAAACCTCTCGATGCCGTGGAGAGCGTATCGGTGCCGTGTCCCGCCGTAGGACCCCGACTGTGGCTGGACGCCGACTTCGACAGCAACGGTCGACTGCTCGAAGAGAAATATAACTTCGAAAGTCTGGAACGGTGAGTGTGATACGAGTCTTCTAGCGTTAAACGTACAAAGCTATATCATATATGCCCGGCAACCGGGCACGGTCTTCGATTTTTCGATGCCCGGCAGTTTTTAATTTTCGGTGATTTCTCAATTTTCCTTTATAAAAACTAACGCCGAACGCTCCAGCACACTCGCCGCTGCGAGTGCTGTGGCGCTATTACAATTATAATTTTTAATATATATACAATTACAATACTTTATATCTATTATATTATTGTAATGGCGCTACAGCACACTCGCAGCGGCGAGTGTGCTGGAGCGTTCGGCGTTAGTTTTTATGAAGGAAAATTGATATACAGTGACACAGCAGTGGAACTGTAGGCCTAATTGAGAGGTACGATAGTATTTGTGAATGTGCGTTAATATTATTTTTAGTTTTTACTGACTGTCCCAAGTGCCTGTGCCCAGGATGGCAGCATTTGCTAACAGCTCTCAGCGCAGGCACGTAAAACTAATTAATCTGGAAACAAAAACAAAAAAGCATGGTTACGCGTATAATACGTGTCAAAATCAATGTGGGGGGACGAAGGGATACAGCACAACTGACCACCTATTCGTACTAAGGTGGATCATGGACAAGCACCGGGAACAAAACAAAGACATCACTATACTATTTGGGGATATTCAAAAATGTTTCGATAGCCTATGCAGGCTTTCAGATTTGAAAAGTACAGGAGGACTACTAATGAGACTCCCCTAGGACACCATAGGGGGACTTTTCACGCTCCATAATCACACCCTCTAAGAGGCATGATGGAGAGCTCCCACTAAAAAATCACACCCTTAAGAGCGCATGATGGAGAGCTCCACTAAAATCACACCTTTAAAAGAGGGATGATGGAGAGCTCCTGAGGATTAATGAAAAGAGTTGATCGTGATGTAAAAAATAAACTTGTTTTAATTAATTGATTTCCATCCTTAGAGATTCTAAACCATGTACCTGCATATATTCAGCACAAAATATCATCACCAATCCATCAACAAAACAGCCAAATTACTTTGATCGAGTAGCCACGTATGTAGCCCTCCAGCCCTACGACTGTTTCACGTCGGCAGAAAACCACTTCTCGCCACGTATAGTAGAAAACGAGCAGGTAACTTGTGGCTACCGTATAGGTACCTGTATTTGGATGCTGTTGTTTAGTTGTATTATAATATATATTGATATATAATAAACCAGAGGGTAGTAACCACACCTGCTACCTCTGCCATACGTTCAGTCACTTACACACCACAAATTGTTGTGTGTTGCTAACCTTTTTGTACCCCCTACATTGCACGAAACTCTATGGCAGCGCTATTTCAACATAATAGCAACTTACTTTTGGGCGCGATTTCAACCACTTATTATGTAGTGCGCGATGGATGCGCGCACCATGCACAATTTCGGCTGTGCGCTGGTGGGAGGCAGAGCGCCGATCACGCCCCTTAAAAATGAAAGCCTGCCTATGGCTAAAAGATGCAATGGTGGAATTATGGTTTAGAGGATTAAAGGGACCATGCTGGGAGATAATTTTCCAAATGAATGAAAAGGCAATTATTAACATAAAAACACCAGTAGGGGAAACAGAAAATTTCAGCACAAAAGAAATAGTTAGACAAGGAACAATATATTAGGACCAGTCTTATGCTCTATGACTCTGTATCACCTAAATGACCTCAACAAAGCTAGATACATGTACGGAAACAGCATAGAAATCGGACCCTTATTATATATGGACGATATTCTAGGAATTGGAGATCATGAAACAGTTACAAAAATCGCTCAGTCATGCCACAGATTAGCAGAACAAAAAAGATTAGAATTTAATATGAACAAAACAAACACAATCATCATCAATGGTTATAAAATTCTCAAAAAAAGAAAGGATAGAGAAGGAGATACTATTACTATTAGTCTATTAGGGAACCAAGTAATAAAAAAATGCACCAAATATTCGTATCTAGGTGATTTAATTAATGATAAAGGGGATTATAAAGACATGATAAGAGTACGAACAGAAAAATGTAGGTTCATGATGAGGGAAATAGTATCAGGGACAGAAGAGCAAAATTATGGTAAGCAATACTAAGCATACTATAGAAGCAAGAGTGAAACTATATGAATGCACAGTCTTACCTTCCTTACTAAATAATAGTGAAACGTGGACAAACTTAACTAAGGAAGAACTTAAAATATTAGAGGATTTCCAAAATGAGTGCCTGCGCAAAATAATTAAAGCTCATAGTAAAACACCACTGGAAGCACTAAGGATAGAGTTAGGAATTTTACCAATAACAGATAAAATAGGATACAAAAAACTCATGCTACTACAATACATAGTTAAGCTAAATAACAATAGATTGATGAAGAGAGTATTTATACAGCAAATCAAAGGGGAGGGAAGAAATTGGAGAAATAAAATTTTAGTAATCCTAGAGGAGTACGAACTGGAAGTGTCATTTACAGCCATAGAAATAAAACCAAAAAGAGCCTGGAAAAAACAAGTAAAAGATGCTATTTTAAAAAGAGTAATTAAAAGAGACAAATTGAAAACTATTGATAAAACAAAAATGAACATGATAAACATTGAAACATACGGATTGAAGGATTACATGGAAGAATTATCATTTACTGATTCGTGTTTTGCATTTAAATGTAAAACTTGTATGATTGATCTCAAAGGCTACTTTAAAAATAACTTTAGTGACAATATGTGTAATAGATGTACTAAGAATATAAAAGAAGACATGGAACACTTATATAATTGTAATAGCTATAATAAATGTACAGAGGGACAAAAAATAGAAAACTGGATAGGAGACAACCACAGGCTATTGAAACCAGAGTTAGATTACGTACGGGAAATACTGGTGACTAGAAACACTAATATCTAGAGAACTGGAGGTGGCTTAAATCTCTTTCTCGCAAGATAAACCCCGCACCTCGTAGAATCAAGTGCCTTGTGAAATACAAGAGAGGGTACCAAGATACAAGTTAGAAGTAAACAGTGTAGTAGTAGTACGTGATCCAAAGCATTCTAGAAATGTCAAGCGATTTTCGTTAGAGCTGTATATATTCGAACTAGCCCAATTCTCCTAGCTTCGGATCACTTGTATGATACAAGTACAAGTTGTATCTTGCATCTTGGGGTCCCTCTCTTGTATTTCACAAGGCACTGATTCTCTCTTTGATCACTGAGCGAACGAACTCGCAATCGACACTTAGAAAATATCTGACGGCTGCCGGGCACGGTCTTCGATTTCCTAAATGCCGGGCAGTTTTTAATTTTCAGCGTTATCTCAAGTAAACAAGGGTTAGGGTTAGGAACTGCCGGGCATTTAGGAAATCGAAGACCGTGCCTGGCTGCCGGGCATATAGCCACAGCGTTAAACGCTGGCCTACGGTCGACTGTCGACGGTGAGTTTGATACGTACGTGGTAGGGGCCGATATTTTAGTGTCGTGGTAGTACGTACGTACTACGCTAGCGGTACCCGTTTATATAACTCGAATATGTGCTTAATTAATCGTTGGTGCACCTAGATATGTTGCACAATCCTAGTTTACGACCCAAACCTTCATTTTCGCAAATGCACTAAACCAATGCGGGTTGCTAAACTGTATTAATCTATTAGTATTATTGTCACATCACAACTCTTCACACTATTTTTATTCATTAATTTGAGTAATATCCCACATTCAGTATCATCATTATGAATTGACGATTATACGGTTATTGGTATGACTAGTAGTCTAGTACGAAGGTTAATGCACAAATTACATTGTTGTTCTTGCTACGTTATTCTTATTTTTAAATTGTAATTTTTAAATTTTTAATATCCCTGCGCTAGTCTTCATTAATTGTGTAAGGCAAAGAATACCCATTTTCAGGGTTTCTAAGCTAGTACTAGTAGCGGTACCGCGTGCCTCGCTGCTATCCCTGATGAGTGTTGTATCAGCAGATAAACACGGGTAAACAGCTGTTCATAAGAGCGTGTCAAGTCTTTAGCGCACTTACACCCCCCCCCGCCCGTGTAACCCCCAGGTTCTCAGATGTTACTAATTACTGTACAAGCGCTGTACACGTTACATGGAACAAGTCTAAAGATTGTGTTTAAAGGGCCCGACACACTAGGCGATTAAATCGGCGCCGGGACAAATCGATTCTATCGCGCCAGTCGAGTGGACACACTAGGCGATTAAATCGCCAGTGAATAAGTCGTGCATACATGTGCACGTAGACGTGCGTGCGTATGCACGTACACCTGCGTGCATTTATGCATGCGTGCGTGCGTGTGTATGTAAACGTACGTGCATACGTGCGTGTGTGCGTGTGTACGTATACGTGCGTGCGTGCACGTGCGTGCATGCGTGCGTGTGCACGTACACGTGCGTGCGTGTGCAAGTACGCGTGCGTGCGTGCGTGCGTGCGTGCGTTTGTACGTATACGTGCGTTCGTGCGTGCGTGCGTGTGCACTTACACGTGCGTATATGCGTGCGTGCGTGCGTGCGTGTGCACGTACACGTGCGTGCATGAGTGTGTGCGTGCGTGTGCACGACACATGCGTACGTGCGTGCGTGCATCGCTATTACATGACATGACATACTAAACATGAAACATCGCTATTACGTATGAACAAGTACAGTATCATTGAACAACTCTGATTGGCTGATGAATTGTACAATCGGGCGATGTTATTGCCGGCCGCGGACACACTAGGCGATGAAATCGGGCGATAATATCAAAACGTTTTGATCTATGCGATGACATCGGGCGATGAAATCGGCGGCGATTGAGTGGACACACTAGGCGATTTCACGGCGATTACATCGCCCGATGTAATCGCCTGGTGTGTCCGGCCCTTTAGATACACGCGAGCATTATGCATCATCGAGATGTAAATTCTGTGAAAAATAAATAAAAATAAGTACGTCTGTCATCATACTCATAGCCTACCACCTCCATCACAGGCACTTGGACCGTCTCAATAAAAAAAAAACTCGCGTACGTGCGTAAGTGCCTGTGACCTCCATGGGTGACACTAAATGTGCTGGCAGCTGAATTTGTGGGTAGTAAGATAATAACGGTATCAATTCACTTTTTATATTATTATTAATATTGTTTTTACTATCGTGACTCAGCTCTCGAAATATGATCCCGTGCAACGTTCACTGACGTAAGAACCTACAGATGAATCCGGGGTAGAAATTAACTTTTGAACACGGGAGTCCTACCCTCAAAAAGAGGGAGTCCGCAGCAAAATGAGGGAGTCCGCAGTGGGTTTAAAAATGAAAGATATTAACAATAACGCATGTGGTTATTTTTAAGATTCATGCGGTTGCACGTCTGCCAAATTTTCTTTGGACATTAGCTGGGAAAATACGGTAATTCCGCGAGGCGAGTTAGTATGGCAGAATTTTCAGGGAGTCGCACGGACTCCTGCATATGTCAAATCAGGGAGGCCGACAGTAAATCAGGGAGTATTTCGCACTCTGTGAATGATCATGGTTTAGGTTTTGCATTGTGAGCACGTTTATACATAGTATCTTTCTTCATTTTAAATGTCTATGGCGCGATTGATCATTGTCTGTCTGGTGGGGTTTGTCGCATTGCGTCATTCAGTGTGGTGTTTTTCTTTTAGCTATATTGCAAAAATGGAGCAGGAGAAGTATGTGAAGAAAGCGGCACGTAGACAACATGGTGCACACATGCAGGTAAGGTTCGTTTGCAATGAGCCTGGCTGGTTATTTGCAACAATTCTTGATAGTGGTGGTTCTACTGTAATTGAATTTCTTAATTGTTTATTATATTCTGCAGCTTCTTAATTATGTAATGATTTGTTATACAATCGTTTTTTTATTTCTACTTGACTTTGTTTTGGTGTCATTCCGTTTTGTTTCTTATGTTAAACAACTGCTCTCAATTATTTGTGACTTTGATGTATATTTTTAATTTAGTTTTTGGTATTGTTTCGCGTGTGATGATTTACCGTAGATGCAGTTGTTTTTTTGTCAATGTTTTCAACGGTTTGTCCATGTGATTAATATTTTTTATTTCATAATTTGCATCATCCCGTATGTGCTAATTTTATTTATAATGAATGGGATAACTTCTGCTGCCTCACAGATCTATTTATCAATCGTACATTTTTTTCAGTTTAGTCGATTGTTTAATTTTCCTAATATAGTCGAGTCATGTTTTCGTTAAACAGGTGTGCGTTTTCTGTAAGAAGAATGGAGAGTGTGAAGACTACTACCAGAACCACCAGTTGAAAGATGGCTCTGGTCGCGTCACGTGTCCCGTGCTAAGGCGCTACACCTGCCCGCTCTGTGGTGTAAGTCTCAAACATCTATCTGTATTTTCATATACAGTAAGGTATACAGTGAGATAATCTGGGTGACCGTAAAAGTGGTATACCCACTAAAAGTGGTAATAACTATAGATGAGGTAAATTATTACATGATAATATTGTCTAGGCATGTTTTAACGTTAATTTTGTTGCGTGGCATACTTACAGGCGAACGGTGACAAGGCCCACACCATCAAGTACTGCCCGAGGGGCAGTGGGTCCGCTGGCAGCACCATCGCCGCTGTAAAGTCGGGACGCAACTCCTCTGGCCGGAGACACCCGCACTCCCAGCAGGATGTGCGCTCGCGCTGCGATTCTCACAGCGGGCATTTCTGAATCGGTGCATCGTCGCGTGGGTGCAACTCTGGGAGCAAGTCCAGTTGGAATTCTGGTCTTCGTGCGGAAGACGGGTAAACACTCACCAGGGGGTGTGCTATAGTGAGTCTATAATTTTAACGTGTTTATCCGACTCGCCCCCAATTGTGTTTTAGCAATGTTTGTGGTTGCTGAGGTAATGTATTATCATGTATTTTATTATTATTTAGTATTTTGTATATAATTATTATTACGTAGGTAGGTGGTGTATTTACTGATTGTGTTCGTTTTAGGGTTTTTCAAGAGCCGTTTACACTGTAATATATTTGTGTCGCAGAATAAACCACTGGCTATAAACGATGATTATAATATTATTGTACGATGGTGTAATACTAGTGTTTCGAGTAGTATTATCATTCCCAGTTAGGGTAATGAAATTTCAGGCATTGATTCGTGATTGCAACTTTTACTTTGCTTCTCGTTTGTTTGCGTTTGTCAAGTTGCCTGTGACAAGTAAGTAGTATACACATGTAATTTTAATGCGTAATTCTTTTGGGTTATACGACCGAAATTTTTAGAGAGTGCAAATCAAGTATACTGCTGTGTCAAGATTTTGTCCCCAGTCAACCCGACGCAGTGTGCGTAGCTGGGCTGCAACGAGCAACCTGTGTTATTTAGTGTATATACTTTTTGTTTTTGATTAGAATGTTGTGTAGGTAATAATAATATGACATGTAACGGACTGCTACAGAGGGACAAGGGAAATTGGTATTGCAGTTATCACTTGCGACATCAATGTACGCATTATTTCGGATTATTAATATAACTCTGAAAAGACACTTTTATTGTTACTCTTGTTTATCATTTGTGTTATTTTAGTGATAAATAATCTACATAACTGCATGGTTAACCATTTTTCCCCATCACAGTTCTGAACGCCATGAAATGTAAGTTTGAGCATATATATCGCCATTATCGGCATAAACGGATCCTTGCCATAACTTGGGTAGAGTTTGCTTATAAACAGATTTCGAGGTGATTTTAAAACGTATTTCCAAACCAAATTTGATGCATAACATTAACCGTTTCTTGCACACTGGTTGCACCACATTACTCAAGAATAAAAAGGTGTTTAATTCTAATCTGAAACATAGCGAATGCGTATTGAAGATAAGTTAGCTTGCCATATTACTCGAGAACAATTCCGTTTTTGATTCTGTAACATTCCGGGTACACTCGAGATAAGACGAATAAACTCGAGGCGTGTGATGTAGAATATAATAGATTCCCGAATAAATTGAACAAGAAAATACCCGATTGCTAATATGCGAAGAATATGTTTACCTTTCTTGCCTCGCCTTTCCGTTGGCGTATAAATATAGAGGACATGATTGATAATAATGTATAACTATTATGATCGTTCTAATTATACAGGGCCACCGCTCCACCACTAAACCACTACGTTTATTAGTAGCAGGACTGGACGTACTTACTACGCTGGACGGTGTTTCTAAAAAAACGGCAGCCGCTAATGGAAATACGCTCGTTCCATAAACAGCCGGGTGGCAAGGGCGGGGAGCGGTAGGTAGGGCTGTGGGAGACGTGAGAGATACATAGAATCAAGAATCTGATAGAATCAAGAGTAGATAGAATAGAGATATATTATAGTGGAGGTGGGTGAGGGAAGGGGTAGATAGAGAGGGGGAGGGAGCGAGGAAGCGTACGTGATTGATTGATAGGCTGTCATTCAGAATGCCATTCATTTTAAATAAGCGGCGTTATTAATACGTACGCCGTTAACCTAAAGTAGGCAAAGCTATAATATTTAAACACAAACAAGAAGTTAATAAAGATAAAGTTTAAAATATAAATTTTAATGAACCCCATCCGTTTCATCTCACACCACCCCTCCCCTGCTAGGCGAGATTGTTGGACCAGCCAGCGCGTATACAATCAGTTGGCGGCTGCAGCGCACGCCCGCGTGTTATCGGCCTTACCTGACATGTTTATGGCCGCCGGGTCAACGGGGTTTGCAACTGCGGCCGCCGAGGATGTCACAGGGTCACGGGCCGCCGAGGTGATAGTGATATCACGAGAGTATCTATACCAAGAGTCTATACTGATGTAGTAGTGTAGCGTATAGGGAATGTCCAAGGCAATAGCCTGAACTAGTTGAAACAGTTGATGCTCTGTTTTTGAATTCGGCACGATTACCCGGAACCACTACGAACGACGAATTCTAAGAAATGGGACTTACGTGCTTTCGATTTCGCAAGACTGATAGTGATAGGACAAAACAAAACAAAACAGAAAAAATACGCGTATACGTTGGTTCGGCTCGCATGGATTTAGTTTGGAAAACTTCATAAATTCATACACTTATTTCTAGCTGTACCTATGCAGCCATTCGTGTTGCGAAGCGAAGCTAGCATGATAGGACAAGCTCCCCTATCGTACCCCACCCCACCCGATTTGGTTTATACACTCACAACAGTACAACTATAGTTCAGCGGCGATGTTTCAGGGCCAACCCGATGTTATCTACGCAGAATATATATATATAGCGCGTGCGTGTATTGCATAGTTTTTAATCGATTAACTCGATGTTATCTACGTAGAGGCGTGAGAAAGTGGATAAAGTGAATTGAGCGGCAAGAGAGAGGTGATATCAAAGAGAGAGTGTACAATGAGGTCGTGCACTTAATCCGGCACACATGACACGTACTACTGCTAATCTATGAATTTAACCCGTTACGATAGACTGCCACCACGTTTTTGTTATCATCATCCGCGTAAGGGTAATGCTCAAAGCTTTAAAAGTACCGCTAAACGACTTCAGCCAGTCTATGCGGCGATGGCGAATTTATACATATAATTTCAGCTGATGAAACATGCGAGCAAGACTACTGCTTATATACCACTACTAAAAGAACGAAGATATTCCTATACTCCCCCCCCCCTCCACACAGACATGACGTACGCGCACGTATAAGATCATTTCTAGAATGTGAGCGATTTCAGAACCCTAGAAATAAGGTCAAATATATTGACTAACAACTATGCACACTCTTCAAGTAGAGTGATAATATATAGATATGCATACCATAGATAGGATTAACTTATTTTAATCATTTCAGAATAAAATTTTATTTTAAATCCTGTAAACATTTGATAATATGGGTAAATAGTAAATACATTTTAGCATCACATAAACGTAACTGTACAGTATATATAATAGCAACGCCACATTTTGCTTGGCAATATTCGATTGACATACGAAGATACCGCCACAGCAACAGGTGGTCATCGCCCGTATAGAGAGACGCTCGAGCAGAGGCTCGAGTCTATATATACGGCTCTACAGGTGGTTATCGTCACCTACCGCCACCTAGCGAGCGAAACGTTAATAAAATAATTAAACACCGAATTCAACACTCGGGAGTCAGCGCGTGTAAAACATCTAGATTCCTCCTGAAACTACGGCATTGTGTTCAGCATCCGTGTCGCCCGCTAGCAGAGTGGAGTCTACGGCAGGCGGAGAAAACACGCCTCCAGGGGGCATTGACAGCGGCACGACGGCGGCGCCCTCTAGCTGCAGCAGACGATTGACGATGGCGAGCGACGATTCAGAGAGAAGACCCGGCAGGTAAAGCATCCTCGCATCTGCACCGAGAGCCTGATTAATTAACACGAGGTAAAAATACATTAATTACCCATGTGTAATCCCGATATTATGAACTAAGAATGCGAGTGTGATTGAAAAATTAAATATCTAAAAATATTCCTTTTTATTTGAAGGATATTGAATCGGAGGAGGGGGCGAACGAGTCACAAGTGGTTTGGCAAAGATGCCAACTTTCTTAAATGACGGCGTAAGGATTTCTTTTGATTGAAAGCAATCATGGCCTTTGAAAAAAAGGATGGTATTTGCATCTTGGACACTCATTTGAGTCATTCTAATGAAATGATTTTCCTAGATAAACTGCAAATAATTCAGAAACTGAGTGAATTTTCTATACAAAATACAAATATTTGCGATAAATGTGTACATATATCACTAACGCCAAAAGAATGTGACCCATGTAATGCAGACAAGAAATACACATTGCTCACCATACAAGGATTAAACTGGTTACCTCCGCCAGGGGCTTGGCAGGGGTTATGTTTTCACCGGCGTGTGTTTGAGTGTTGGTTTGTGTGTTTGTGCCGGGTTTGTGGGTTTGCACGTGATACACCTGTACATCACGTTTATACGATTACTATGAATCACGACCGACTATAACGCCCAATTAATACATTTAAGTACAGGGACAGGCACCAGCGCATGCAAAGAAACTCACAATGCAGAACAGCAATTTTAATTATTATATTTTTGCTTTGAGATTTTTATAATTGATTGCCAGAACGTAGTAGCATATTTAGCTGTCAAGTAGCACAATGATAATTGTTAAATCATAATGGTTGACATCTCTGGTTTTTACATTATTTTCTTTTCTTTTTGTACGCATGAGCACGTGTAAATCACTCACCAAGTCGGCTGCAAACCCCAGAGCACCGTGCGAGGTAACCTTTATCATCAGCAACTTTCCCTGCTCTAAACATTTAAACACGTAAGCATTTATTAGCTACGGAGATATGATCATGTCACGAGTTTTTAATATTTAATAGATTCGCACATATATCATATTTATTCGTGTCTGCACAGCTGGCGACAAGATTATTGCACGCTGTCGCGAACCAACCGCTACTCCAAAACCATCATTTCTGTCAGAAACTAGTCTCGTGGTGCCATCTAACGGCAGCAACAACCTCACTCTTAGATCGTTTCCTGCAGCAGTCAAAGCGCATCTAAAAGTACATGAAACCAAGACGTGAAACATAATCTATACACCGTAACTAAATAGTTATATAGCTCGTAGAAACTACATAGTTCATGACTGTCTTGATCACACCTTGCAACAACAACAACACGTTCACCACCACCACCACCACCACCAACAACAACAACAACAACACATTCACCAACAACAAGCCACAAGGAACAAGAAAACATGAAACCCAACGACAACAGTATCACTCGTACTCATACAAAAAAATCAAGAGCACATGAACTATATATTCTGCAGCTCATACAAACTGCACATGGTTTATATGACTGCTTCAATCGAGCCTAACAGTGGTAACGTCACTTCACCGCGCGTCAATCACCTTGTATAAGGGTCGCTTCAATCGAGCCTGACAGTGGTAACGTCACTTCACCGCGCGTCAATCACCTTGTATAAGGGTTGCTTCAATCGAGCCTGACAGTGGTAACG